GCAATCCACTCACCTCAGCCTCCCAAAGGCTTGGGATTACAGGCTGAGCCACCAAGCCCGACCAGAGTGAGCTTTTTAAAATATAAATGGGGCCGGGCGCAGTGGTTCATGCCTATAATCCCAGCACTTTGGGAGGCCAAGGTGAGAGGACTGCCTGGGCAACTTGGCGAGACCTCATCTCTACAAGAAATCAAGAACAATGAGCCAGGCGTGATGGTACATGCCAGTAGTTCCAGCTACTTGGAAGACTGAGCCCAGCAGTGTCTGTGAGCGTGCCACTGCACTCCAGCCTGGGCATTGTAGTGAGATTCCAACTAAAAATAAAAAATAAAAAAATTTATATATATATATATATAAATGAAAAGACACTTTCCTGCTATAACGCTTCCATGGCTTCCTTAGATAAAAACTAGGCAAACCTTGGCCCACAAAATCTGTCCTTTGACTTCTTATCTCTCTAGCTTTATCTGTACCACTCTCCTCCTATCTTTCAGGTCCTGTAGAAGAAAAGCGCATGTTTACCTAGGGACTTGGTACTTTCCCCCTTCCCAATGTTCATGTGGTTAACTCGCTTTTGTCCTTTTTTTTTTTTTTTTAAAGAGACAAGATTTCACTCTGACATCCAGACTGGGGTGCAGTGGTGCAACAATAGCTCACTGCAGCCTGGAATTCCTGGGCTTAGGAGATCCTCTTGCCTCAACCTCCCAAATAGCTGAGATTACATTACAGGTGTATGCCACTATATCCAACCCCTCTCATCATTCCTTAATCAAACATCACCTCAGAGAGGTCTTCCCTGACCCCTGATTTAATCTAGGTTTCCCTGCTTTTCTTCTCATATAGCATCTTATACTTTTCCTTCATAGTTTTGCCACAATTGTTAAACATGTTTATTTGTGTGATTATTTGCTTACTGTCTGTATTCTAGATTGTAAATTCCAGTAAGGCAGAGCCAAGATCAGTCTTGACATTTGCTCCCTCACACCCACCCACCCACTGAACAGTGTCAGGCACATAGCAGGTGTTCAATAAATATTCGTAGGATTAAATGAATAAGCGAGCACATTAAGTGATAGAGAACTCTGTCCTGTTTATTAAGGGTTGCTTTGACTCTCTACTTAAAATCCGGTTAAGTACTATTAAAGTTAGGACCACAGATAGGGGCCTCAGGTATTTCCACCCACAGGCCCTCTTTTTCAAGCCTCACCTGCCACCAGTTTTTATCCAAATAGCTTGTGCTCCTGGCAATGTCCCTAATGATCCCAGACCAAATAAAGGGTATTGTGACATGGACTCTAAACGTGTGCACATTTGCGTCCACAAGTGGCTCATTAGCTCCGTTCAAGCTTGCTAAGTGCACCACCACACTGCCCCGCCCAGACCTGGGGGCACCGACACCCTTTGCTAGGGAGCTCGGGCTCTCGTCTCGGCTCGAATCTTCCGTACAGCATGGCGGCTCCCGAAGCCGCGGGCAAGGACGGAGTCTTCCGTACAACCGGGCTGCCTACAGAGCCCGATCCCTACGCACTTCCGCCCAGCTACCGGAAGTTTCCGTTTGAAACGGAGGCGGCAGACCTGGCGGACGGCGCGGCGGTTGCTGCCGAGCATCTTTTGAACCAAAACGACAAGGAGTGCGAGCAGGAGCGGCGGGCGCTTAGGTTCGGCTCTCCCGGGGCGAGGGACTGGGCTGGTTGTGGGGCCGGATGGGATGGGCTGGGAAAGGAGGATTTTTCCTTTCTCAACTCCGAGCCGGGGCCGGCTGGGTCGCGCTGTCCCCGGGCCCTCCACCTACTCGGGCCCGGTGGCCCCGCGCTGGGTAACATTCGTCTTGCACCTTCCAGGGCCCAGCCGAGCCGCCTCGTTACGATGACCAGTGTTGTTAAGACAGGGTACGGCCTGCAGCCCCGCTCCGTGCCGAGCAGCGGCCTACCCGCAGGTGGGTGTCCACGCCCGCCCCGGGCACTGAGGACCGGCCAGGGATGGTCAGCCTGGGAGTGTGGGGATCTCGGAGGCTGGAAATGGGGGACGCGAGCAAGGGGAGGGCATTCCGTCGGCTCTGACAACCTGCTACGCCCTCTAGAACCAAGCTACGTAGGTTTATGGTAAGAGTTAGAGGAATTCCGGACCATGTGGTAGGATTTTAGACGTGCCCTGCATCCCGCCCCGCCATCTGTGCTGCATTCATCAGCTAGATTCGAGTTGCTGGTTGTTGTACGATGTTATTCCCGTTAAGCTAGGAATCACCTTCTAGCCAGTTGTCTATCTTATTTCCAGACTTGGGCTATCTTGAGGGACTCGGTTTGTTGTCAAGGAGAGAGGAGAATCATTTGAGGAGTGGGAGACTTAGAGTTCTTTGTTCACATGTATATCTGCAGTGTTCCATATTAGCACATTTTCAATAAATGCTTGTTGAGTGAAGTGGGAGAGGGGTCAGGCCTAGCCAGAGTATTTGAGAAACTTGGGAGAAGAGACATTATTAAAAACATATTTTTTAATTGCTTTGCCATCTTCCATCTTGCTTTGTGTTGTTTTGCTTGTGGTTGAAAGCCATCTCATAGGGTCTGCAGTCGTCGAGCTGCCTAATCTAGAGATTATAGCATAGAATAAGCTTCTGACATTAGAAAACTGTTGTGGGAGATTATGTAGCAGCTGTGTATGATCCCTTCCCAGATGATTCCACGAAGCTGGTAGATGAGCAACGGCAGGAGTGAGCTGTGAAGTAAATAGGCTTTTCTCGGCCAGCCAGACACGGTGGCTCATGCCTGTAATCTCAGCGCCATGGGAGACCTGGGAGGGAGGATTACTTGAGGCCAGGAGTTTGAGAATGCAGTGAGCTATGATCATGCCACTGCACTCCAGCCTGGGCAACACAGTGAGACCCTGTTTTTATAAAAATAAAATAAAATTTAATAAAATTTAATTTTCTCCAAAGACTTAAAGAGTTTTGTCTTGAATTGCCTCAGGACACCTGAATGGTAACCCTTTACCAGGGTTACAACTAGGGGTTGCTGGAGGAAATGGAGCCAGGTCAGCAGGCAGTGCCTAGCTGTCCCAGCCAAGTTGCAAGTTTTTGTCTTTGATTTCTATCCCTGTCCCAGCTTTATGATCATATGTAAGTGAAACAGTTTAAAATTTTTAGGGTGTCTCTCAGGGTTTTTGTCTTAATTTTGTGCTTCAGCTTTTAAAGTTGGTAATATATGCACATGTAAAAAAATCAAAAGTTAGGAAACCATATACAACAAAAAATGTTTCCAATAAATAAAACAAAAAAATTTTTTTAAAGTTTCCTTTCTTTCCTTGACACCATTCAATTTCCCTTAGCATCTCCCATTTTTAGGAGACATCTTTGTGAAATCCTACTCAATTTTTCTACAATGCACCTGTTAAGTTTTAGCGAATATGAATTACTGGAACTGATTCCAGTCAATGAAGAGTGTTAATTTTGATCAAGTTACTGTGAACTCCATAACAATAACAAATCTACCCCATAAAAGGTGGGGTAGATTTGTTGTTTATAACTTACTAATACTTGAGAGAGAAGATTATATTCCTGCAAGGTTACCTTTTACTTCAGACAGACACTTCAAAAAGAATCCTTTTAATATTTTCTTTGTGAAAGAATATCAAAAATAGAGATTGCAGATTCCAGGAAATGAACCTATACATGAAATAATGTGTTAACCTGAGAAATCATACTTATCTAAACTGTTGTGCAGCTAGAGGTATCAAAATAAAATCTTTATCAAATACAAAATTTCCTAATCTGTGTGATCCGGTGCTTTGTACCTCATTTCTTCAACTTGATTTTTTTTTTTTTTTTTGAGTAGGAGTCACACTCTGTCGCCCAGGCTAGAGTACAGGAGCACATTCACGGCCATCGCAGCCTCCACCTTCTGGGCTCAGGTGATCCTTCCATCAGCCTTCCAAGTAGCTGGAACCACAGGTGCTTGCCACTACGCCCAGTTTATTTTCTGATTTATTGTAGAGACAAGGTCTCACCAAGTTGCCCAGGCTCATCTCGAGCCCCTGGACTCAGGCAGTCCTCTTACCTTTGCCTTCCAAAGTGCTGGGATCACAGGTGTGAGCCACTATGCCCAGCCAACTTGATTTAGTTGTAATGATTCTTAGGTCAGGTAGCCGGGCTCGGTGGCTCAGCCTGTAATCCTGCGCCTTTGGGAGGCTGAGGTGAGTGGATTGCCTGAGCCTGCGGGTTCGAGACCTGCCTGGGCAGCGAGACCTCATCTCTACAATAAATCAAAAAATCAGCCGGGCACGGTAGCGCATGCCTGTAATTCCAGCTTACTCGGAAGGCTGAGGCGGAAGGATCGCCAGAGCCCAGCAGGTCGAGGCTGCAGTGGCTGGGAGCGGCCACTGCACTCCAGTCTGGGTGACAGAGTGAGACTCCAACTCAAAAAAAAAAAAAAGAATTAGGTCAGGCTTTATTTATCTATTTTTTTTGAGTAGGAGTCTCACTCTGTCGCCCAGGCTAGAGTGCAGGAGCACATTCACAGCCATCGCAGCCTCCATCTGCTGGGCTCAGGTGATCCTTCCATCAACCCTCCAAGTAACTGGAACCACAGGTGCTTGCCACCACGCCCAGTTTATTTTCTGATTTATTGTAGAGACAAGATCTCGCCAAGTTGTTCAGGCTCATCTCAAACCCCTGGACTCAGGCAGTCCTCTTACCTTTGCCTTCCAAAGTGCTGGGATTACAGGTGTGAGCCACTATGCCCAGCCAACTTGATTTAATTGTAATGACTCTTAAGTTAGGTCAGGCTTTATTTATTTATTTTTTTGTTGAGTTGGAGTCTCACTCTGTCGCCCAGACTAGAGTGCAGTGGCACACTCCCGGCCACTGCAGCCTTGACCTGCTGGGCTCTGGAGATCCTTCTGCCTCAGCTTTCCAAGTAGCCGGAACTATAGGCGCGTGCTACCATGCCCGGCTAATTTTTTTTTTTTTTTTTTTTGAGTTGGAGTCTCACTCTGTCACCCAGACCCA